ATGGACTGGGTTGGAAGGGACCTCAAGAATCATGAATCTCCAACCCCCCTGCCACATGCAGGGCCACCAACCTCCCCATTTAATGCTAGACCAGGCTGCCCAGGGCCCCATCCAACCTGGCCTTGAACACCTCCAGGGACAGGGCATCCACAACCTCTCTGGGCAGCCTGTTCCAGCACCTCACCACTCTCTCTGTAAAGAATTTCTCCCTCACATCCAACCTAAATCTTCCCTCCTACTTAAAACCATTTCCCCTTATCCTGCTGTTATCTACCTTTTCAAAGAGTTGATTCCCCTCCTCTTTGTAGGCTCCCTTTAGGTACTGAAAGGCTGCAATGAGGTCACCCCACAGCCTTCTTTTCTCCAGGCTGAACAAGCCCAGCTCCCTCAGCCTGCCTTCGTAGGGGAGGTGCCCCAGCCTCCTGATAATCTCTGTGGCCCTCCTCTGGACCCTCTCCAACAGCTCTCTGTCTTTCTCATACTGGGGGCTCCAGACCTGGAGTTTGCTGAGAACAGTAAGCAATGTGTGCAGTACCATCAGAAGCAGCAGGGAGCTGCTACTGGAGCATCTGTACTCAAGACCAACAGATGCGTACTCACACTGCTCTTTGACTATCACTGCTAATATCTAAGCTCCATGTGCCACGTTAGTAGCCCTTTAAGTGTAGTCTTAGTGTAGTATGCCATTATGTAGGAGACTTTTCTTCTCGTTTGGCATTTTGTTCTAAAGAAACCCTGAGCTAAATCTTGTTCTTGACATCGATGCTTAAAAAAATAGGGTTCAAAATATGTCCAAAGCCCAGGATGCAGGAAAATACTCACACTGCTTCTTCAAAGATCACAAAGTACCCTTCTATTTCAAGAGGCAAAGGACACCATCAGCTCCAAATACAGCATTTGTGCTTGCTAATTGTTATCTTCAAGTACGCTCCCCCTGGTGGGGATGAAAAGGTTATGCTCTGAAAAGTGAGATTTGCAAATGGTGTTCTGGTTCTCTCTGTATTTCACTTCTCACTCTAATTGCAGACTGGCACCGGGCATGCTTTCAGCTCATTATTCTCTACAGAGGCCCGCTAATGGTAATTCATCCAGTGCTTAATTCTACAGCTTTGACGTGGAAAAATGTCTTTAAAATTCAATACTGATCAAGTGAAAAGAGTAGGCCTGCCTCTCTGCTTTTTGTTTAGCTGTTTGGTAACTGGATAAACATTAACCAGCTGGATTGTGCAATTATAATTTCTGTAAGGTACTGTAAATGCTCGCAGTAGCATAGTGTCTGGCAGCCTCACAAATATTAATGAATGCATTCTTGTTCCACTCATGCTATTAAGAGCGATTAAGTACTTTCACAGAGGTCATGCAGAAAATGAATGGCAGAACCAAGCACTGAAGAAAATGCAAAGCTTTATTGCTAAGAGATACTTTTTAAGACATCCTACAGCACAAACAGAAGTAAGCAAAATAAATACAATTAATGGAAGGGATTATTCACAGTAGGTACTAATTATTTACTATGAGCCTGAACAAACTTAGACATTGTTTCCAAAGAACTCAGCAAACAGCTTGCTCAACAAGATCAGGAGTAAGGGTTTAGGATTTGGATTAAAAACACCAAAAAAAAAGAGTAAACACCAATATTCTCCTCTAGGGAAATCATCTCTGTTAAGTATTTGTCTACAGATTTCCTCAGTATTGCTGTCTAAATGCATTTGTAAATATGGCTCCACTATTACTATAGTAAGTAATCCAGTCACATTTAGAAATTTCCTACCAAAATGTAATAGAAGAAAGATAAGGTTTTATTAAAGCAAAAGATATTAGAGCAGAAGTAAGAATTTGAGTTACTTTATGGAAAATAAAGTACAGAATTTGTATAGATAACAAGGTCAAGATTTGAAGACAAATACAGATGAATATCTCTGTTAATACAAGGGAAAGTCTCTGTTAACTGTGGAACCAGAGCAAACAAAGTCATCAGGCACAATGGTTGAGACTTCTTGAAACATAGCTTTCAAGTGTTGGAAGCTATTCAGAAGTGTAATCACGTGGCAGGCTGAAAGCAAGAAACATTTCTATTTCTACTCTTAATGCTTTTTCTGTTCTATGCACTTTAATTTAAAGCTGTTTTTCAGATTATGCACAAATGCCTTGACTTATCAGTATTTTTGTTATGTCTTAAAAAGATATTTTAATGTATTAAATGCATTGCATTTCTTCTATATTTAGGGTCAGATATTATCATTGATACTTACCACTGATGTGATCAAGAAATACAACACAAGCTACACCAGAAGCAACGCTGAGGGAATACTTAATATTGTAAAGTAACTTCCAGACACATTTGCATTTTAAGTACTTGAGTTAAATATTTAAGTTAATTAAACAGGAACAAATTTATGTACTAGGCTCCCTAAAGCAATTAAAATGACACAACAAAAGACAAAACCAGTAGAAACCATGTTTGCTCTGACTACGCAATATGTCCTATGTGTACATTCTCCATTGATTTTAGGTAATGTAGAAGCTTATGGACAAGAAAATGTTGAAACATGACATTTTTACTTGAGGGTTTTCACCACAGGCATCAAACCTGATTTCATAGTTTCTGCTGACAAACCAGCAACAAAAACAGCCCTGAAACCTTGCCCATGTGGCACTGACATTGAGCTAGAGCTGGAACATCAGCTCTTCTCAAGAGCCCATAGTTCTCCAGGGTCAAGTTCTGAAGGACAACTGACTTTGGTTTAGGCCATCTGGGCAGGGTGCTGCTAGCAGCTTATCTAAGCAGTACAAAACACAGGCAAGCCATCTGCCTGCTCAGTTTGCGTCCTTGGAAGGTTTTGGGTTTTTTTGATTCCGTAGATCGCATGGTCGTCTACTTTCTAGTAGGATTGAGGCTACCTGTATGAGCACTACTGTCACCTTCATGTACTGTATAAAGCTTCTAGTAGCTAGGATCTTATCAACAAATTAAAGAACCAGTAATGTGTAAAAGTATCCAAATAATGAATCAAACAGAAGCCTCTATATTTTATTATCTATGGATGAAAAAAAAAAACCAAAAACTTGAACACATCTTTCTGAGTACTTTCTTTGACAAGTACTTATGCTGACACACATTAATGAAGTATCTCAGATCTTTCTATTCAAAAACTGAACCATCATGCCAAATAAAAGAGATGTTCTTCTTCCCCTGCATGGGATACTCTTCATTTCCTTCTAAATTGACTTATTTTGGGTGTTCTTTTTTCTTGTGTGGAATTATCAGGAAGTCTTGCAGATAATAATGTCATAAACATATTATTGGTATAGAAAGGTATTTTTCAATAAATGATCAATTATATATTTATTAATAATCATCATAATCTAGCATTGAAAAAAATTAAGAATGGAAGTGGTCTTCTATGGAGTGATGCACATTTCTTTGTTTGTTTGTTTTAATTGGGTTTTGTCACAGTAGCCTTTACAAAATAGCTTGGATTTCAGTCTGTGGCCTCTTCCAGTAGCGCTGCTCGTTCCAGGACTGTCTTTGTTTGGATACAGTACCGGGAAGTGAGCACTTCTACACTTTCCACCTATTCCTCTCAAACATGAAACAGAAAGAGAAGACTTTTACAACCCCTTGGCATGCAGCCCCAAAGGGCTCTTCAAATAAAATGTAATGCACCACAGTTTCCTGTAACGTGCTACCACTAGCCCAGTGGCAACTATTGCATACTTCAGTGCATACTTCAATGTAATAAATGCACGTGAATGATGTCCTGTGGGTAAAGCTGTTTCAGATTAGACCAGTGCATAAACACATTAGCAGCTGAGTGCAGCTGCACAGGTAGAAATGGTCACTGCTGAACAGTACAAACTTTGTTACCATTAGTTGGACCTAACTAATGTAGTAGGAACCAGACAGCAAAGTCATAGGAACAGAATAAGTCAACTTTTTTTGTGTGTTTCTTGCAGCTTGTTCCTCTGAAATCCACTTCTGATCTAAACCAAGAGGTTTCCAGCATTAGTAATCTAAAAACTAGTACTAACTGTGATTACACTGCATGAATAAAGAGGGTGTCAAAAGCTCAGAAAACTGCACCAAACTAAAAAAAAACAAGATAATGTTCTTGCACACTGGCACAAGACTATTTTCAAATTTGGAATATATATGTATAAATATATTTTTTAAGTAAATGCTTAGATTTTTTCTGTGCACTACCTATGATCCTCTAGGTTTTGCTTCATGCTTTTAGGTTGAAACTAGTGGGCAACAGAAATGGGGTTAGAGCTCCCTGACCTCTGTAGAAACAGCTGGGACAGATACTTGTTTGCACAAGCAACCGGAAAAATATTTTTAAAATAATAAATAAAGTTCTCAACTCTGGACTACTGCAAAAGCTCTGGCATGGTCCCGCATCACATCCTTATATCTAAATTGATGAGATATGAGTTTGAAGGATGGATTATTCAGTGCATAAGGAATTGGTTGGAAGGCTGAAGCCAGAGAGTTGTTGTCAGTGGCTTTATGTTCAGGTGGAGGCTAGTGATGAGTGGTGTCCCTCAGGGGTCCATCTCAGGCCTAGTACTCTTTAACACCTTTATCAGTGACATAGATGATGGGATTGAGTGCACCCTCATCAAGTTTGCAGTTGACACCAAGTGCATTTGACACAATAGAAGGGAGGGACGCCATCCAAAGGGACCATGGAAAAGGTGAGCCTGTGTAAACCTAATGAAGGTCAACAAAGCCAAGCACAAGGTATGTGTGGGTATTTGGTATTTGTGTTGGGGCAATCCCAAATACGTGTATAGGCTGAGAGAAGAACTTGGCAATAACTCCCTGTCCTCAACAGAAACAAGGAAGACTCTCCTGGGGTGAGGCCATAGCATTTCCAGCTGGAAACTGCCTTTAAATAATCCTGGGGAAACCAAGGTTGTTTGTGTATATTCTGAGTACACAATCTGAGGTGTGAGGGTGAGGAATGAAGGCAGCCATCTGCCTGCACCCACAGCCCCTTCCCAGACAGATGCAGTTCACCAAGTGGAGGCCTTTGGCACTGGGATGGAGCAGCAGCACCTTTGTGCTGTTGGGCAGTGTTTTGGGTTCCCTGTGGGCGTTTGAAAAGAGAAGCCAAGGTGTGTGCTTGAGTGATGAGACACTGCAGTGCAGGACAGTGCTTCACAGGTGAGGATGGGGTTGGGGATGAGGAATGGGCAGCGCAGGCATCCAGGGCCTCTTCTTGAGGGCAAGCCCCGTGTACTCAGGGCTAAGCCCTCAGCTGTCGTCCAGGACCATCTCGAACAGGTGGCAGCTGGTGCTGCGGGGCTGCCGGCATCAGAAACAGCTGGCTGCAGCCGGCCTCCGTCTGTCTCCCACTCAGTACGCGTGCACGTGTGTGTGTATTACATTACTACTTAATATTGAGTTGTTTGTTTGTTGTTCTCTCTTGAGGATTGCGAAGAGCTCCTCTCCCCTCCAGATTTCAGATTTCCCTCCTCACACACACCTCCTTCCCCCGCCTCCCGACCAACCCCCGCTCCCCCGAGGGGAGGCGGGCAGGCGCCGTACCTGGCGCCCTCTGCCCGGGGAGGAGCGCGCCTCTCCGTCCCGACCCCGGCGGCACCGGCAGCGGCACCGCGAGCAGGTGGGCGCCGAGGGAGGCGAGGGCTGCCGGCCGCCCCCGGCCCGGCCCGCCTCTCCCCTCCGCTCCACTCAGCGCGGGGCCGCGGCGGGGAGGCGCCGGCGAAGGGGCCGGCAGCGGGGCCGGGGGCCGTGAAGAACGACGGCCGGGGCTGCCCCGGCTCCGCGGGGCCGGGACGGCTCCTCGTGCAAACTTAGAGCCGGCGGGCGGCTGCGGGGCCGGGGAGGGTGGGGGTCAGAGTGCCTGAGGCTGCGGGACGTGTGAGGGCTGTGGATGAGGAGAGCACGGTTGCGTGTGAGCTGCGGAGCTGGTGCGGTGCTGCGCTGTTTGTTTATCGCCCTCAAACGGGCTGTTTGCACGCAGGAAGAACTTTTTTTTCCTGGTTGGTGCCCTTGAAGTAAATGTGTTGGAATAGGTGAGCCAAGAAAAGGGGGATTTGTATAAACGTAAGCGGTGCACTGTGTTAAATGCTTGTGTACCTATTGCAGAGGGCATGTGGGAATGCCCGGTGTGGCCCACCAGCATAGGGAGGATGCAGGGAGGGATGGAAGGAGAAATGGAGGGATGCAGGAGCCAGCACGGCTGCGGGTGGGCTTCGAGATTCTGGGGATGGGAAGGATGCACTCAGGTTGGGCTTGGGACAAAACGCGGTTTGTTGTGAAGTGAGTGGGCTGCAAGACAGCAAAAGAAGAGAAGGTATGGAGGTATAGAATAAGGGTTGGTGATTTTAACACAGAACGGTCTCAGGACAGTCTGGATTTCTGGGCTAAAGTTTCTGGGTTCTTCTGCTGATTCAGACAGCGAGATACTGCCGCAATTGTGCTAACAGCAATACTTGTTACTGTGTGTGCCGCACGGTATGCTGAGCTGCCCCTGATGCTATCAGTATTTTCAGTTTCTTCAGCTCTGTATCCAGCACAAACTCATGGTCGTTTAACAGTGTGCCAGTGTTTCTGAAATCATTGTTAAAGTCTTCAGCTTGCTTGCTTACTGATAAGCAAGCCACAGGGAAGAAGATGAACACAGGCTTGCTTAGAGCAGTGTGATCTGGGACACTCGTTAGGTATGCGTGCCTGCAGATCCTGCTCCTGCGTGGCCCTGTGACCCAAGCAGTCCTGATGGAATGTGCGGGTGGTGCGGACTCTGCTGCTGCCCACGACTGTGGGACTGTGCCCAGCCTGAGGAGGAAGGATGCAGCCTGCTTTGCTGACAGTTACCAGCTTCTATGTAGAAGGAGCTCAGTGTAGGATGCTTAAAGGATTGCGTAAGTGTGTGTTGTTTCACTGACAGTGCTTTGGATGTTTTGCTTTAGATGATGCCAGAATGTGAGTTAGAGTCATAAGATTCAGACTTTGGTCATGTGAGGATAGGTATAGAGCTGAAATCAGCATTCAAATCATTCCTGGTTTGATTCTATTTCTGAGAAAGATCAACTTGCACTTGAAGTTCTGACTCTGCACTGGAAAGAGCAACGTATACTACATTTATCAAATTATGTCGTATAATACAAAGCAACTGCTTTTTTTCTTCTCTCTCTCCATCTCTAATGGCTCTTCCAAAAGGAAATATAGATAAATTAACATGTAAAGATCCTGCAGCATGTCATTTACTGCGATGCATCAGGAAGGGCCATGCACTGAATTTGTTTATGATTGCTATTAAATTTGCACAAAGTATTTAGATAACTTTTTTGAACTGTAAATCAAAACATAGCAGTAACCATACCATAAAAGTCAGCAGTGCTTGTTGAATATCTTGTCTTAACAGATCCTAGCTTATTTATGCTAATGGATGCTCTTTGTACTTGAAAAGAGTCACTTTTTGGAGGAGGTGGTGAAGTCAATATTTTGGGAAATTAATTGTCCTCTGGAAGGAAGACCTTGAACTAAAAACATTATGGTAGTCATAACAAATAGGAGAGTGCACTTTTTAAGACATAAATGTGGAAAGCATTAAAGCCGAGTAACACATGATTTAATATTTTAAATTAAAATATGTTAAATGATATTAAAATATCAGCCAAGGTTTAATATTTTAAGCTTATTCCAGCTCCAAAGCAAAGCAGAGAAAGAATTGGCATCAAACTTCTTTGTGTGCTTTATAAGTCAGAACCTACCTACAGGAAAAGCATGATTTTCAGTAGAATCTCCTTCTCTGGAAGCTTTTTGTCTCTTTGTTTGGTGGCTGGTACAAGTTCTGCTTAGTTAACAAAAGTAGGTGAGATGGGTCTAGATAAGTTCAGCTCTCTTCCCCTGGGCTTCTTAATTGATTGATCCTGGATGTGTGTGAGCATCAGACACATTGTTACGTAGGTATTTGACACCCTTCATTTAAAGATCTAATGAATCAGATGAAAAATTGAAGCAGGTGATTGCTTCAGGAAAATGATGGTGGGCTCTTTTGTGCCATGATACAAATATCTAGCTTCTTCTAAAGTGCATGTAAAATTAATAGCTAAATAAATATATAAAAGAAATATAGTATCTAACAAATTCTTCTGACTAAGTCTTCAGTACTTGCTGTTATTCTTAGAGATCTTCCTCAGTCTGTGCTCTTACAGGAAGTGGTTATACTTCTTGAAAGACTGAAGCTTTCTGAAAAAGAGCTGAAGGAGCAGAACCTGAATGAGACTTCACAGTTACTTATTAATCTCTGGTATCTCTACATCAGGGTTGTCCTTTGTAACCAGGGTGACCAGTGGTGTAAGTTGTGCTGTGTTTGCAAACAGAAAGATGTCCTCAGGGCTTCCAAGTCAGAAAGGGGATATCATGGAATCAGAGAATCATAAAATGGCTTGGGTTGGAAGGACCTTAAAGATCACCTAGTTCCAACCTCCAGCCATGTGCATGGCTGCCACCCACCACTCAGGCTGCCCAGGGCCCCATCCAACCTGGCCTTGAGTGCCTTCAGAGATGGGGCACCACAGCTTCTTTGGACTTTTACTTTTGTACCACCAACTGTATATGTTTCGACCAACTTGTATATTTTTAAATATGTCCACCTTAAGTGGTATCATTAAGTGACCTCATTTGGTAGTATGCACAACAGCTGTAAAGGCACCTTTGGACTGCTATAAAGTATGTGAAACAACTAAAGATTGTTCATAAGGATGTGAAAAGCGTGTTTTCATTCCTTGGTAATTCAGACAACAGTTCAGATAGATTTCCTTTAGATTACCAGAAGTAGCTCTCCTTTGATTAAGATCATGGGAAACCTGATTCTTCTTTGCATTGATCCTGTGTCACTGCTGACCACTGTTAAGAGGAGACAAACAGCCCTCCTTGAGGAGAATGGTGACATCAGCATTGTTATCTGGAATGCAGCATCCAGGCCTGGGGCCCCTAGTTCAAGAAGGATGCAGAGCTGTTGGATAGCTATGAAGATGCTCAGAGGGCTAGAGCATCTCTCCTGTCAGGAAAGGTTGAGGGAGGTGGGCTTGTTTAATTTGGAGAAGAGAAGGCTCCAGGAGACCTCATTGTACTTTAAGGGAGCTTATAAGCAGGAGGAGGACTGAATTTTCACATGGTCTAATAGTAATAGCACAAGGGGGAATGGTCTTAAACTAAAAGAGGGGAGATTTAGGTTGGATTTTAGAAAGAAATTTTTTATTCAGAGGGTGATGAGGCACTGGCACAGGCTGCCCCATCTCTGGAGATGTTCAAGGCCAGGTTGGATGGGGCCCTGGGCAGCCTAAGCTGGTGGATGGCAGCCCTGCTCATGGCTGGGAGTTACAACTGGGTGATCATTGCCATCCCTTCCAACTCAAGTCATTCTGTGATTGTGTGATATTGTAGCCCAACTGGGCAGAGGAGAGTAACAGAATAGCTGCGCTACAGCTCCAATACAGGTGATTATACAGAGTGAAAAACATAGGCAAATTGGACAGGAGGTTCCTACGAGGTAAGATTCATTAAACTCAGAAAAAGAAAGTTCAGCAGGAAAACATTTACTCAGTTTCAACACTGCTTATACAAACATCTAAGAAAACTACCCAGTGTCTGTCGTGCAGTTTTTAAGTAATGGATATGCTATATCCTTCATTAACATTGTGGCAATTGCAGTGTCTGTCTCCATAAATTAAAGAGTTGGCTAGAAACTACAGTGCTTCTGCTTGATTCATAAGATAAGAGGAAAATGCTTCCTTCCAAATGAAGAACAAAGTGAATGAATGGATTCAGAGATAGTAACCCCTTTGTGTCAGTCCTTTTCACTAACTTTAAGCAGCTCTGTTAATGACTGTTGTACCATTTAGCTTTTTTCTAGTTAGCATATCATGTACTCTCTTCATTATAAATAACAAAAAAAAAAAAAAAAAGAAGAACGAGGAGAGCGGAGTATGGCAGCAGCTCACAATGGAGGTCTTGGGATCTTTTGATCCTCCTTTGAATCTTCATGTCTGAAAGGTATTATGTTATTGCTTTCCTAACTGGCATCGTTTTGTGCAGTGAAAATTTCATACACCAGCACTGCTGACTGCATATAAAATACCCCTGGCAGGTTGAGGGCTTTTGTCCATATAAGTTATGCCTTTATCATAGGCTAAAGAAGAAAAGAAGAAAGCACAGTACCTGTACAAAGTCTTTAGATATGCTGTTAGTTGAATAGTAGATGTGGTGCTTTGGGACATGGTTTAGTGAGCATGGTGGTAGTGGGTGAACCGTTGGGCTAGATGATCCTAGTGGTCTTTTCCAACCTTAATTATGTAATAGTTCTTTGATTCTATGAGTAGACAGATAAGAAAATCACGAGGAGGAGGGAAGGCAAGCCAGCCTTACATATGAGGAAAACAGCGCATGTTTGAGTAACTTGTTTTTGGGAGGAATGTTTGCTCCTCTTGGGGATGCATGAATCACTTCAAAAACATCTGCCAAAATCTCTCTAGGATTTGGTCAGAAAGATGCTTTGACTGATCAGTTGTGCAAGCACAAACAGCTTTGCGTGCTTAGGGATGTTACTTGTGCTACCTCAGCTTGTTATTTGCCTGGGTTTTCAAAATGAAGCCC